ATCACTGGACTTTATTAAGAGGAATCACTGCTAATTACATAGAAGTTACTTGCCTAAGCCAAGATCCATGAGGTTCACATGAACGTACAGTTACACAGATAAGAAACAAATGGCATGGTTGAAACCATGAAATATCCTGATGCCCGGGTGATGAAGGCGGGGGTGAAGTATGCACATTTATTTCAAGCTGTTAAAGAGTTTGTGGGCCACGCAGTGGTCCTTTGCATGCAGGAAGTCAAAGAGCTCCTCGGTGCAATCCTCCTCTGTCTGTGACCTGGAGGATACACGCTGGTCACAGAGCTCTAGCCGCTCCCGAGCCTTTACACATTTCTCCAGCTGTTCGCATTGCTCTCTCACTGTTGTTAGGGGATCCACTAATTCCTCCTCCTCCTCTTCCTCCTCCTTGGGATCTCCGGACCCGGTCAGCATCTTTCGCTCGTCCTCCAGCCCCATGTGCCGCTACAGTTCTGAATTCAACACCAACACCAACAGCAACAGCGGCACCTATTCCACTTCAGGATCAAGAAGGCTTTTTTTTTTTTTTAACACAGGGTAAATGCTTTTGCAGTTTTGACATCTGCACTCTCAATTCCCTTAAAAACTTAATGGAGTAGAAAATGTAGAGGTTTTTGAAGTCCCTATACCAGTCACTAAACTTGTAAAGGATTTGGGCCCCCCTTTTATATTTTATATAAAATTTTAGGATTTTATATACTGTTTAGCATTTTATATGCTGTTAAGGCTTTCTCTTTAATTGTGAGAAATCCTGCTCCTGGTAGCTTCAAAACAACCGGGAAAAGTCATAGAGAACCCATACAATTTCTGCATTACATTGTATCACCTCCCTAATTACCAGTTGTGTTTGAATTTGTTCTCAAGAAAGAAACACATATTATATCTGAATAGACTGTATACCTCACTTCTGTGCGCCATGTCTACCCCCAGGATTTGCTCTGACCTAGAGATCCTTGGATAGGCCCTTCAGAATGCTGGCAATTCCTTTAGGAGAATATGTACTGTGCAGAAGATCCATTCCTCCCACATCTCCATCCAAACTCCACAGATTTGGGGCAATGTACTTGTAGCCTCGGTCTGTGTTTGTTTCTCTGCTTCACTGACAACATTGGTTTTTTTTTCCCATCATTTTTTCATTTTTGTTGTTTTCAGGAACATTTGAGAAAGGGCAGTGGAATAGAATATATTACTCCACCTTCTTTACCCAGAAGTTCCAGAGGAACGGTAGTTTTCAGGGAAGGTGAAGTCAACATTGGCTGGAATGTTACAGGTTGAGAAGTTTGCTTTGGCCCCAGAGACTTGTGAGGAAAGAGAAGCTATTAGGATAGGGTGAGTTTGAGGGGAAGAAGGGAAGGAAGCATTCCCAGAAACAGCAGGGACTGTGGCTCTTGATCTAGTTTAATTGAGCCTGATTTAGGGTCTGTTTAGAGCACTCTCTTGTCTTCTATCTTTTGAATCATCAGAATCCCCTAGGAACTTGTGAAAAAGCAGATTCCTGGGCATTATTCATGAGAACCCATTCATGAGGAAATGCTGGCTGGGAAAAGAAGGGGAAAGCAAGCTAGTGCATGATTGTAATGTGGCATTTCACATATAAAGGTGTATATACAGGTACACCTCAGAGATCCTGCAGGTTTGGTTCTAGACTGCTGCAACAAAGTGAGTATGTCAATAAAGCAAGTTAAATGAATTTTTTGGCTTCCCAGTATACAAAACAATGTGCGTACCTCAATTAAAAAAATACTTATTGCTAAAAAATGCTAACAATCATCTGAGCTTTCAGTGATTATTTTGTAATCTTTTTGCTGGTGGAGGGTCCTGCCTGGATGTTGGTGGCTACTGACTGGTCGGGTGGTGGTTGCTGAAGGTTGGGGTGGCTGGGGCAATTTCTTAAAACAAGACAAAAATGAGGTTTGCTTCATCAATGGACTCTTCCTTTCATGAACCATTTCTCTGTGGCATGCAGTGTTCTTTGAGAGCATTTTACCCACAGTAGAACTTCTTTCAAAATTAGAGTCAGTCCTCACAAACCCTGCTGCTGCTTTATCAACTAAGTTTATGGAATATTCTAAATCCTTTGTTGTCCTTTCAACAATCTTCACAGCATCTCCACTAGGAGTAGATTCCATGTCAAGAAGCCACACTTTCTTTGCGCATCCATAAGAAGCAACTCCACATACATTTAAGTTTGATCATGAGGTTGCAGCAATTCAGTCCCATCTTCAGACTCCACATCCTTCTAGTTCTTTTGCTATTTCTATCACATCTGCAGTTACTTCCTCCACTGAAGTCTTGAACCCCTCATAGTCTTCCATGAGGGCTGGAATCAGCTTCTTCCAAACTCCTATGAATGGTGATATTTTGACCTTTCCCGTGAATCACAATGTTCTCAATGGCATCTAGAGTGGCCAACCTTTCCAGAAGATTTTCAATTTACATTACCCAGATCCATCAGAGAAATCACTATCTATGGTAGCCACAGCCTTATAAAATTTATTTCTTTAGTAATAAGACTTGAAAGTGAAAAATATTTTTTGATCCATGGGCTGCAGAATGAATCTGTTAGCAGTCATGAAAACAGTTCATCTCATTGTCCATCTCCATCAGAGCTCTTGGGTGACCAGGTGCATTGTCAATGAGTGGTCCTATTTTTTTAAAAGATTTATTTATTTATTTTAGAGACAAGAGAGAGCATGGGGTCGAGTAGAGGGAGAGAGAGAATCTCAGGCAGACCCTTGCTGAGCACAGAGCCTGACTTGGGCCAGATCTCATGACGCTGATCATGACCTGAGCCCAAATCAAGAGTTCGTTGCTCAACCGACTGACCTAGCTGGGAGCCCCATGAGCAGTCATATTTTGAAAGGAATGTGTTTTCTTGAGCAGTAGGTCTCAACAGTGGCTTAAAATATTCAGTAAGCTATGTTATAGACAGATGTGCTGTCCGTCAGGGTTTGTTATACCATTTTTAGAACTCAGGCAGAGTATTTAGCATAATTCTTAATGGCCCTAGGATTTTTGGAATGAGCATTGGCTTCAGCTTAAAGTCACCAGGTGCATTGGCCCCTAACACAAGGGTCAGCCTGTCCTTTGAAGCTTTGAGACCAGGCATTGATTTCTCCTCTCCAGCTGTGAAAGTCCTAAAAGGTATCTTCTCCCAATATAAGGCTGTTTCATCTGTGTTGAAAATCTGTTGGGGCACCTGGGTGGCTCAGTCAGTTAAGCGTCTGTCTTTGGCTCAGGTCATGATCTCGGGGTCCTGGGATCAAGCCCCATATCAGGCTCCCTGCTCAGTGGGGAGCCTACTTCTCCCTCTCCCTCTGCCTCTCCCCCTGTTTGTGTGCTTTTTCTCTTTCTGCCAAATAAATAAATAAAATCTTAAAAAAATAAAAAAGAAAGAAAGAAAATTTGTTGTTTAGGGTAGCCACCTTCACTGATGAACTTAGGCAGATCTTCTAGATAACTTGCTGCAACTTCCACATCAGCACTTGCTGCTTCACCTTGCACTTTTATGTTATGGAGATGGCCTCTCTCCTTAAACCTCATGAACCGACCTCTGCTAGCTTCACACTTACCTTCTGCAGCATACACACCTCTCTCACCCTTCATAGAATTGAAGAGAGTTAGAACCTTGCTCTTGATTAGGCTTTGGTTTGAGGGAATGTTGTAGCTTCCATCTAGACCATTAAAAACTTTCTCCATACTGGCAACAAGGCTGTTTTACTTTCTTATCACTTGTGTGTTCACTGCAGTAGCACTTTTAATTTCCTTCAAGAACTTTTCCTTTGTATTCACAACTTGGCTACCAGTTTGACACAGGAGTCTTAGATTTAGCTTATCTTGGCTTTCGACATGCCTTCCTCACTAAGCATAATCATTTCTAGCTTTGATGTAACATGAGAGACATGCAACATTTCCTTTCACTTGAACACTTAAGAGATCATTATAGGGTTATTAATTGTCCTAATTTCAATATTGTTGTATCTCAGGGAATAGGGAGGCTTAAGGAGAGGGGGAGAGACAGGGGAACCACTCATCAGTGGAGCAGTCAGGACACACAACATTGGTCGCTAGGACACAGAGACACAAAGTGAGCAAATGCTGTTAGAAAAATAGTGCCAATAGATCTGCTCAGTGCAGGGTTGCCACGAATCTTCAATTTGTAAAAAATGCAATGTCTGTGAAGTGCAATAAAACAAGGTATGTCTGTAGTTCCTTTTTTTTGGTCTGTAGCATTTCACAGAGAAATGTAAAATTCCTGTAACCTCTTTATCTGCAGTGGTTCAACTACTACCTAATTAAATTTAATCAATGCCTTTAAGCATAAAGCGAATCATGTGTTGGGCCCTTAATAGTTATTACTGCTTTTTTTCTAAACATAGTGTTTGACTCTTCCTACAAAACTCTTAATTTTCATTTTTCTTTGGGGTTCTTTTTCAAAGGATGGAGATTTCTAAAACCTGACTTGTCATGATGTCAGAACTACCTCTTAGTCTTTATGGCATTTTGTAGTTAATTATTATTACACTGGGATAGAGCTTCATTAACAATTGAAACATTTGTGAATATACTAAACAAAATTTTCATTAATTTATTTATTAAAATGTACTTCATCTACCAACTCTACTAGAAAACCAAACTCTCTTGCTTGAATATTTCTGATAATCTGCCAACATTTCTTTATTATTTCATTATTCTGTAGTGGGCATGAATCTTAGGCTCTTAACACAGGTATGTAAGCCCTGTCTTTTTTTTTTTTTTTTTAGCTGAACTTAAGTTCTATGTTAAGCCCTCATTTTATAGAAGTTTACTAAGGTCAAATCAAGGTTTCTTCAGTCAATTCAGGCCCTTGCTTCCCCTACTGCCTGTATACCTTAAGGATTGAAAGTCAGTCCCAGGAGTGCTAAGACTTCCTACTGGGTAAGATGGGGGTGGGGACAAGCCATCTGCCCTCAGGTGATTGTCCTCTGTTCCCAATGTATTGAATATAAATTGGGTCTTCATTCATCAGACACTACATTATCCTTATCTCTGCTCTGTCCTGTCCCAAGGCCTCTCCAGGCTATTCTTATTTGTGACCTTCAGATACACATACAATATTTGGATGCCCTTCTCAGAGATATTTATTAACAAGTAACTCTCTTATTTCTCCATCTTATGACTCCCTATCTTCCACAGCTAAGGGAGTCTGTTTCTCCTCTAGGTAGGAAAAACTGGATTTTATATAATCATGCATTTTCTCCATTCCATTTGGTAATGCATCCTTGTTTGCCATATCCTCAAAAGATCAGGCTATTACAACTGAAAAAAAATTGATCTGCTTTTCTACACATCTCTTCTCTTTGGAAGTAGTAGATGCCTTAATCTTCAGTTTGAGTTGGGGGAAGGTCATGGGACAAAAAGGAATTACTATAAATGAAAAGAACACCAGCTTAATATATGAAATATTATCCACAATAATTATATTGGAACTTGTAATATATGATTAATACCTATTTTGCATTATAGATT